TGAGTGTGTGTGTATGAGTGTGTGAGTGTGTGCGTGTGTGTGTGTGTGTGTGTGTGAATGCCAGAGGTCACCCTCAAGTGTCTTCCTCTCTCACTCCCACCTTATTTTTTAAGACAGGGTCTTTTACTGAACCTGGAGCTCAGCAACCAGGATAGGCTAGCTGGACACTGAGTTCTAGAGATCCTCCTGACTCTGCCTCCTCAGTGCTAAGAGTGCAGGCTTGAACCACCATGCCCAGCTTTTTACCAGGTGCTGGGAATCTGAACTTAGGTCCCATGCTTTTGTGACAGGCACTTTACCAACTGAGCCATCATCTCCCTACCCCCACAGGGACCTATTTGAAACAAATGTCTTGCTGGTGGGCCTTGGGAAAGTTGTGCTGGTTTCTCTTAGCATAGTGCTCTTGTGCTGATCAGGCTGGTTAAGGGTCTGCTACAGAGAAGCAGAGAGGCAGCTCCGGGGCCCGCTCAAGGTTTGTTTTTCTAGACCACAGTTACACCAGAGTGAGTCCAGGCTCATTAACACTGTTGTTTGTCCCTTTAACATAGAACAGCCAGTCTGAGAGATGGACTTTTAGCATTATTGGATATTTTGGTTCAGTGTGTGTGTGTGTGTGTGTGTGTGTGTGTGTGTGTGTGGTTTTTGAGACAGTGTTTCATACTATTGAGCCCTTGCTATCATGAAACTCACTAGGCTGGACTTGAACTTGTGGTGCGTGATTCTCATACCTCTGGCTTGTGTCATCATGCATGGATGGGTACTTTAAATGTTTATATCATGGGAGGCAGAAGCAGGAAGATCTCTGTGAGTCTGAGGCCAGCTTGGTCTACATAGCAAGTTCCAGGTCTCAAAAAGACCAAAAAAATAAAATAAATAAAAATAAAATACTAAAAATGTTTTTTAAAAAATCTTTTGGAACTTGAACTCTACTTCTCTTAATTGAGACTTTAAAAAATCAGGCAAAGGGGCTGGAGAGATGGCTCAGCGGTTAAGAGCACTGACTGCTCTTGCAGAGGACCTGAACACTGATTGTTCTTGCAGAGGACCCAAGTTCGAGTCCCAGCACCCACATGGTGGCTAACATCCATAACTACAGTTCCAGGGGATCCAACGCCCTCTTTTGACTTCCTCTGGCACTGAATGGCATGCATGCACTCACATACATGCAGGCAATACACTCGTACACATAAAATAAAAATAATAAATAATATATATATATATATATATTTTTAAATTAGGCAAAGAGGAACTGAGGGGTCAGCCAGTCAGTAAAATGCTCACTGTGCAAGTACCAGACCTGAGTTGGATCTCTAGAACCCATATGAGAAAACCACATGCTTATAATCCCAGCACTGGGAAGCGGGGGATGTGGGGACCCCAAGTCTTGCTGACCAGCCAGCCTGGCCTAATAAGTGAATTCCACTAAGTGAGTTCCAGGCCAGTAGAAACCCTGGTCTCAAAAAACAAATGCTCTTGAGGAAAGACAGGCCTTCCGGTCTTCACTTGTTCATGCACTCGTGTTCCTACTCCAGCACAGACACATACAGACAACACATACACAAAGAATGGCGTCGCGGCACACACCTTTGATCCCAGAACTCAGGAGGCAGAGGCGGGAGGATCTCTTTGAGTTTGATGCCAGCCTGGTCTACATAGTGAGCTCCAAGCCAGCTGGGGCTACGAGAGACCCTGTCTCAAAAAGACCAAAAAAATTAAAAATGAAAAATAAAGTTAGCAAACCAAAAGTTGGGATTTTGAGAAAATTGAAGTTGCTAGACTCCCTAGAAAACTTGATTGTAAAGAAGGAAAATGGCAGGGCGTGGCGGTACACGCCTTCAATCCTAGCACTCAGGAGGCAGAGGCAGCGCCGGATCTCTGTGAGTTCCCAGACAGCTGGGGCTACAGGGAGGCCCTGTCTAAAAAAAAAAAAAAAAAAAAAAGAGGGAAAATGGCCATTCGTCAAAAATGAATGAGTGAAAATTAACTCAAAATTAATCTTAGAAAAACATATAGGAAATATATGTTATTTTGGCAAATATTTCTAAGGGTATAAAAATGATTTTGGGGGGCTGGAGAGATGGCTCAGTGGTTAAGAGCACTGGCTGCTCTTACAGAGGACCAGGTTTGAATCCTAGCACCCACATGGCAACTAACACCCATCCATAACTCCAGTTCCAGGGGATCTGACATTCTTTTCTGTCCTCTGCAGGCATGGCTGTGCTTACTTACATGCAGGCATTACACTCATACACATTAAATAAAAATAATAAATTAAAAAAAGGATTTTAGGGCCAGTGAGATGGCTTGGAGGGTAAAGGCCTTTGCCACCAAGCCTGGAGACCTGAGTTAAATCCCCAGAACCCTTGTGAGGATAGGAGAGAACCAACTCCACAAAACTGTACCCTGACCTCCATGTGGGCAACACATGTGCTCCCCACATCACGCACACATGCACATGATAATAGCAATATAACTTTTTGAGAAGATTAACTCTATTATTTTTTGTGTGTGTGTGTGTGTGTGTGTGTGTGTGTGTGTGTGTGCGCGCCTGCATGTTCTCTTGGAGGCCAGAAGGGGGCTTTGGATCCCCTGGAGCTGGAGTTATAGACCTTTGTGAACTGCCTGATGTGGGTGCTGCCATCCTAATGCCAGTCCTCTAATAGAATGGTAAGCTTTCTTAATCACTGGGTCATCTCTCCAGCCCCAATAAAGACATTTTTTTTTTTGTGGTCTTTTTGAGACAGCGTCTTTCTGTAGCCCCAGCTGTCCTGGAACTCACTATGTAGACCAGGCTGGCCTTGAACTCACAGAGATCCACCTGCCTCTGCCTCCCGAGTGCTGGGATTAAAGGCGTGTGCCACCACACCTGGCTAATAAAGTCATTTTTAAAAAGAATGACTAAAGCCTAAAAGGCTGACAACACCAAATGTTGGTGAGGACAGGAAGCTATTAAACACTCTTCCACTCTTTGGTCCATACTGGGGACGGAGCTCAGGCCCCACACATGCTAGGTAAGTTCCCTGCCACCGAGTTAATACCCCTCTAAAACTTTCATACATGCTGATAAAAATGTAAAATGGTGTAATTACTTTAGAAAAAGAATTTACCAGGCTCTGGGTAGCCGGGAGCAGAGCAGGCGAGCTGCGGTGGGCGAGCTTCTGGTCCGGAGCCTCGGTGGTGGGGCTGTGGGGCCCTCCATGATGAGAGATTTTGGGGCATTTCCCTCTCCTCTTGTAAGTGATAGTCTGGGTTGTGAAGAGATGGCTGACAGTGTCAAAACCTTTCTCCAGGACCTTGGCGGGGAATCAAAGACTCCATCTGGGGCATTTGTACGATCTCAAAGCTAGATGCTCAAATCCAGCAGAAGAGAGGAACAGCATCGGAGAAGGGCAAGTTGTGTCCTGGCCCAGAGAGTGAGCCACGTATTGTTAGTAGAATTTTCCAGTGTTGTGCTTGGAATGGTGGAGTATTCTGGTTCAGTCTCCTCTTGTTTTATCGACTGTTTATCCGTGTGCTTCAGTCAGTAACAGCCTGAATCATTGGTGCTCCATCACTGCATGGAGATATTTGGTCATGGCTGGAATTCTTCCTCACATCAACTTTCAGTGCTCTTTGGGTGCTCCCCGTTTGTGCTTAGCAAAGTTGGGAATGCAGTTTGGTTTCAAGGATGTTTATGAGTCTCCTTCCCATCCATCCTGTTGGTCAGCCGGTTAGTCTGCTGCACAGGTCACTTCTCTACTCACTGCAGCGCTTTGAGTAGCGTTGGTTCAATAAAGGAATTGAGATGCACCAGCAATTGTCAAACATAGAAAGGAACTGGCCTTACTACTTTGGATTTGACTTGCCCTTGGCTGCTCTCACAGCAATGCAGTCCTCCTACATTATCAGCCTTTCCAGCTTCTTCTCCTTCTGTGGTCTTCTTAAGCAACAGTCTCTTCCACAAGACAGTCTGCCTGCAGTCAGCCCTAGCAGCTCGACCTCTGCAGAGAAGTTCCCTTCACCACATTCACCTCCTGCCAAACTGAAGGCTGCTACAGGCCACTGAGTTCTTTGCTGTCCAAAGGGGATGAGTTGGATTGGGTGGTGGATGTGGCAGCTCTTTTCTCTGTTCTCTCCTGCCAGGGACGGCAGGACCCACTGCCAAGGGTCCTCTGATACTCCCTTCACATTGAGGAATTGGAATTTTTGTCTCTGGTGCACGTGAGGCAGAATCTTCCCGATACCAGTGTGTGGCTTTTTGCACCACCACCACGGGTCTGAAAGGACCTCAGGTTTCCAGCTGTTTTCTAGCATTTGCCAGCTCTCATGCTGGACTGATTGGAGTGCTTTTTCCTTCCCTGTGCCATTTACCCTTCTACTTCTCCTTCCTGCCTTCCAGTACCCCGGGATGAATGGGTTTTGTAATTCTAACTGTTGAGTTTGTGAATTTGTTGTTTTTCTGTGAAGCATATACATTGAATGTGGGAGGTAAAGGAGCAGCCCAGTTGCTCTGGGTCACTCCCTTTATAGCCATCACCAGCTTGTTTTATTGTAACTCACGTTAGGTTTTGGTCTCTTGCTCAGCCTCAAAAAAGGAGGGGGAAAAAAAGGAGCCTGAAGAGATGGGACAGGATAGACCTCACAGCCAGGCTGGTTGGGTTTTGAAAAGTAGTTTTCTTTCTTTCCCCTTGAGGGGGAAAAAGCTTTTTAAAGTTCTCCAACTATGAGGAGGTGCCAATTCTGGGCAAGTGCCACTGCAGTACGGAATGCTCCAGAGAATCTGAGTGCTCCAACTCTGGAAGATGAGACTTTACTGTTGGTCACTGCCGGGTCTGACTGGTATTTCAAAGGAGTATTGGGTGTTGCAAACAGGAACTGAAGGGGTAAACTTATTAAACCTATTAAACCTGTGAGTGATGGTGTTTTCCTGTCATTTTAAGAGACTAAGTGTGGGGCGGGAGGACAAGTGTCAAAACTTGTACAATTTTGAAATATCACAAATAAACATGAGCTGCCCCCCAAAAAGAAAAAGAATTTATCATTTATTCTAAAATTAAATGTACATATGCTATACAACCCAATAATCTGATTCTTTGACATTTACCTAAGAGAAATTGAAAATTTACACAAACACTTGAACATGACGGTTTTAACAGCTTTGTTCATCAGAGTGTAAAACTAGAAACAACCCCAAATGTTCACCAAGTGTGTAAATGTGATTGGACTTATTCACACGATGGAATATTACTCAGCCACAAAAAATGAATGAGTTCACCTTGAGTCATTTCTGACCTGCCTCTCCTTGGAGGCCGATGGGCAGTGTCCATGGGGGTGGGGCCATCAGGTAGTCCTTCATTCTTGACTAGAGCCTGGATAACAAAGGTCTCACTCAGCCTCTGGCTGGCTGGTTGGTGAAGCCCAAACTCTGGTATCTACTTCTGATCTCACTGCGGAGCCCAGCATGTATTAGTAGCTGTTAGCGGGGAGTAGCTGCCTGGCCTCCTCTCTCCTCGTCCTCTTTTCCCTCCTTTCCTGCCCTGCTGCTCCTTCTAGCTTTGTTATGGTTTAGTTTTTGCAGGTCACTCCCTGCAGCCCCCTCTCCTGCCTGACTCTCCTTCCCCATCTCTCTTCATCTATAACCCACTTCTCTGTCCTCACCTTGCCTCCCTCCACAAACTGAATCAAGTGCCACACCTATAACATGGCTGAATCTCACAGCAGTTACTATTTTTAAAACTTTTAAAAAATTACTTCTATTGGGTGTGTACATGAAATGTGGGGGGCACAAGTGGAGATCAGAGAACAGCTTTGTTGAGTTGCTTCTCTCCTTCTCCCTTTACATGGGTTTCAAGGATCAAATTCAGCTTGCCTGGCCTGCCGCCACAGTATGCACCCTTACCTGCACAGACAGCTGACCAGCCTTCTCACAGACGTCCTAACGTGAAGTAAGCCTGCATGCTCATGCTGGTGTTTTTATGAAGGTCTAGAAAGGACAAAATATGTCGTTGGTTACAGAAATGGAATCATATAGGATGGGAGGGGGGTGGATACAAAAAATGAGGGAACTTTATGGGCTAATGAAAATGTTCTATGTTGGGGCTGAAGAGATGGCTCAGCGGTTAAGAGCACTAACTACTCTTGCAGAGGACCCGAGTTCGATTACCAGCACCCACAATAGTGGTTAACAACCATCTGTAGCTCCAGTTCCAGGGGATCTGATGCCCTCTTCTGACCTCCTTGGGCATTGCACAACACAGGTACACTTACACACATGCAGGCCATACACTCATACACATAAAATAATAATAGGCCAGGCGTGGTGGCACACGCCTTTAATCCCAGCACTCAGAAGGCAGAGGCAGGTGGATTTCTATGAGTTCAAGGCCAGCCTGGTCTACATAGTGAGTTCCAGGACAGCTGGGGCTACAGGGAGACCCTGTCTCAAAAAGACCAAAAAAAAAAAAAATCTAACTGTGGGACTGGGTATGTTTAGATCACTTGCCCAGCTTGCCCAGGCCTGGACTAATCCCTAGTGCTGCCAAAAAAAGCTATAATTTTGTTGTAGAGATGTTATACCTTAATACAGTTGATTTTTAAATTTATTTTTAAAATATTTTATTTATTTTTTATTTTATTTTTGGTCTTTTGAGACAGGGTCTCCCTGTACTTGCTATGTAGGCCATTTTAATATTACACCCACAAATAGAATATAATATTTATTATTTTTGTTTTATGTGTATGAGTGTATTGCCTGCATTTGAGTGCACCCGTGTTGTGTAATGCTGCAGAGGTCAGAAGAGGGCTTCAGATTCCCCAGGAACTGGAGTTAAGGACGGTTCGTAGCCACCATGTGGGTGCTGGGAATCGAACCCAGGTCTTCTGCAAGAGCAGTCAGTGCTCTTAACCACTGAGTCATCTCTCTAGCCCCAAATTTGTTATTATTTTTATTTTATGTGTATGAGTGTTTTGCTTGCACATATGTAAGTGCATCTATGTCATGCAGTACCCAGGGAGGCCAGAAGAGAGTTGTCAGATCCCTTGGAAATGGAGTTACAGATAGTTGTTAGCCACCATGTGGGTGCTGGGAATTGAACCTGGGTCCTCTGGAAGAACAGCAAGTGTTCTTAACTGCTGAGCCATCTCTCCAGCCCCAATATAGTTGAGTTTTTACTTTTTTTTTTTTTTTGGTGTTTTTGAGTCAGGGTCTCCCTGTAGCCCCAGCTGTCCTGGAACTCACTATGTAGACCAGGCTGGACTTGAACTCACAGAGATCCACCTGCCTCTGCCTCCCAAGTGCTAGGACATATTTATTTTTATGTGTATGAGTGTTTGCCTATATGTATGTAAGTACATACCTATGTCGTGCAGTGCCTGCAGAGGCTAGAAGAGGACGTCAGATCTCTGGAACTGGAGTTATGGACAGTTGTTTGCTGCCATGTGGGTGCTGGGAACTGAACCTGGGTCCTCTACAAGAGCAGCCAGTGTTCTTAAACACTGAGCCATCTCTCTAGCCCCTAGAGTTGTTTTTATTTTTATTTATTTTAAAAAATATTTTTATTTATTATTTTTATTTTATGTGTATACATGTATTGCCTGCACGTAGGTAAGTGCACCCGTGTCGTGCAGTGCCCTCAGCACCCTCCCTCCATTCTTACCTGCCCAAGCATTTCCGGTTCATCCTTCCTGTTTTTCTTTTGTCAAATATAGACTTTACTTCTCTTTCTGAAAACAAAGGTAATTTACTACATGCTTAACAGTTTATCTTGGAGATCCCTGCACATGTGCTAGGAGATCTTTGTCACTTCTGTCGTTGCAGAGCCACACTGGGCAGGTTTATTTAAGCAGCCTCTCGTGGACAGGCTCAGAGGTGGTTTGCACAGTGTCATAGTGAATAAGCCTGTGCACAGGTTGTTTTGTTTCTGGGAGTGAATCTTCAGGGTGGGGTTTCGCAGTGGGATTGCTGAGTCAAGTGGCAAATGCTGCTATCCTCCTGGAACATCTTTTCAGACCCTCCTTCCTGGAGCCAGCCTGTTTTGTTATGATCTGACCTGTCTCCCCTGAGCCTGGTGGACAGAGGGGTTGTCCAGGACTGGTAGACTGGAGCTGAGCATCTCTGAAGAGGTGGAATGGAGCTCTTCATTCCACATGCTACCCACACCGAAGGGTGCCCCACAGGTACCTGTTAGAGATGAAAGGAAAGCGCTGCTCGCATTCGTGCTGATCACGTTCCAACTGTTGCTAAACCTGCTGTCTTGACAAGTTTCCCTTGGTCCCAGTGTTGGGTGTGCCAAGTAAAAGAGAAGATGGGCCTTAGAAGGAGCAACCTGGACCCAGACTGGACTCCCTCCCCTGAGCCAGGTAGGAGGCCCTCCTCTCCTAGGGAATGTGGTACAAAGAGGGCAGTGTTGTGAGTCCAGACATAGCCTCAGAAACACCACATTACATGGCATAGTAGCCCTTTACCCTAGTGACAGGGTTTGTTATAATTATTAGTAGTAGTTTTTTGAGATACAGTCTCAAGGAGCCCAGGCTCCTCTCAAAGGCAGGTAATGGTATAAAAATTTTAAAAGATTTTGTTTGGTTGTTTTTTCTTTCTTTTTTTAAATTTATTTTTATTGTGTGTGTATAAGTGTTTTGCCTGCATGTGTGTAAGTGCACCTGTATTGTGCAGTGCTCACAGAGGTCAGAAGAGGGCGACGGGTCTCCTGGAACTGAAGTTATGGATGGTTGTTAGCTGTCATGTGGGTGCTAGAAACTGAACCCAGATCCTCTGCAAAAGTAGCCAGTGCTCTTAATTGCTGAGCCACCTCTCCAGCCCCATCTGGTTTTTTTCAGAGTCTCTTTCACTATGTAGCTCTGGTTGGCCTGGAACTTGCTATGTATCCCAGCTCAGTCTCACAGAGATCCCCCTGCCTCTGCTTCTCAATTAAAGATGTGTGCTACCACACCCAGTTCTTTATACATACATACATACATATATTTATTATATAGTACTTTCTATTTATTTATTTATTTATTTACACCCACTTCCCAGATAGCACCCTCCCATAGCCTCCCTCCCCCCACTAGAACCCTTATTCTCTGATATCCCTGCTACTGTCTGCTGTGTTGTTGGCACCCCGTTCCCCACTACTTGCCCTTCTGGTGAATCTAGTCAGCCTGTCTAGAGGTCTTTGTTTAGGAGGGTCAGCTGTTCCTCATCTACCAGCAATCAGTTGTCAATATTCCTTTGGATAATATTGGGGTCTGCTGTTCATTTTCCCACTTCTATGCTGAGTTATTGTCTGCCTGAGTTTGCATGGGACTTATGTATGCTGACACCATTGCCATAGAATCATATGAGCTGGTTCCCAGGAGCTTGTAGGACTGTTTCCCTATGGTCATGCACTTCCTCCCTGGTTCTTATAATCTTTCCGCCCCCTTTTCATGACGGTGCCTGAGCCTTGGGTGGGAGAAGTTTAATAAAGGGAACCTGTCCAAGGACCAGCATTTAGCAGACTCTTGATTCTCTACACTTAGGCTATATGTGACCTTTTGAGTTCCTGGCTCTCTGCTGCATGAGGAACCTTCATTACTGAGAACTGAGAGATTCATTAGTGTCCTCTTAATTATCCCTGTTTTATGTTCCATGAGCCTCAGGTGCAGACACCATCATAGAACTGGGAAAATGAACAGCAGACCCCAATCTTATCTAAAGGAATATTGGCAACTGATTGCTGCTAGGAGAAGAAGAGCTCATCTTCCTAAAACAAGAGCCTCTAGATAGGATGACTAGACTTAGCAGACAGACTTGTACTAGGGAGTGCTCTTACAGAGGACCCGGGTTTAATTCCCAGCACCCATATGGCAGCTAATAACTGTGCGTAATTCCAGTTCCAGGGGAATCCGACGCCTTCTGACCTCTGCAGGCATTGCATGACATGAGTGCACTTACATGCAGGCACAACACTTAAAATAAAAATAAATAAAAATAATAAATATGCCAGGCGTGGTAGCACATGCCTGTAGTCCCAGCACTTGGGAGGCAGAGGCAGGTCGATCTTGGTGAGTTCAAGGCCAGCCTGGTCTACATAGTGAGTTCCAGGACAGCTGGGGCTACAGGGAGACCCTATCTCAGAAAGACTAAATAATAAATATTTAAAATGCATTTATTTATTTTTAGTGTGGAGGGGTGGCACATGCCACATTACACATGCGTAGGCCACAGGACAACTTGCAGAAGTCAGTTCTCTCCATCACCATGGGGTCCTGGGGATTGAACTCAGATTATCAGGCTTGGTGGCAAGTGTTCTTCCCCACAGAGCCATCTTGCCTGCCCTAGTGATATGTGTCTTGGATGCCAAGAGAAGAGATACTGTGTGCATAAAATAAGTGCATGTGTCTGTGTGTTGCTGGGATCTTATACATTCTAAACACACGCTGTGCTGTTGAGCCACACACTCAGTCTTACATATGCATTTTCTTTCTTTTCTTTTTTTTTTTTATTGATTGCTTTCTGACAGGATCTCCCTAGTCACAGCCCACCTGGAAGTCAAGATGTGAACCAGACTGACCTGGATCTCACAGAGATCCACCTACCTCTGTCTCCTGAGGGCTGGGATTAAAGGCGCATGTCACCACGCCTGGCGTACATGCATATTTTTTGCCCAAATGAATACTGTTCTGAAAATCTTTTCCCCCCATTTATATATTTTAGAAATAAGCCGGGGCTGGAGAGATGGCTCAGCGGTTAAGAACACTGGTTGTTCTTGTAAAAGACCCAGGTCCGAATCCCAGCATCCACACGGCAGCTAACAACTGCCCAAAACTCCGGTTCCAGGGGATTCGACAGCCTCTTCTATCCTCCTTGGGCATTGCACGGCACAGATGCACTTACCTACATGCAGGCAATACATGCATACATATAAAATAAAAATAATAGCTGGGCGTGGTGGTGCACCTAATCCCAGCACTTGGGAGGCAGAGGCAGGCAGATCTTTGCCAGTTTGAGGCCAGCCTGGTCTACATAGTGAGTTCTAGGAGAGCTGGGGCTACAAGGAGACCCTGTCTCAAAAAAGATAAAAAATAATAATAATAATAATAGACAATTTAAAAAAATGTCAAATAAGCACC